CCATGCTAACACATTGTGGTCCTCTGCACTGCTTCTATTGTCATTCCGAGCATGTCAAGCTGCCTTTATTTAATATTGGCTTCATTCGTTATTGTGGCGTTCCGATTTTCTCTGTTTCACGTGGTTCAAAATCATACAGAATACGTTCTATGTTTTAATGTGGAAATTTGATTTTATATCAGGACTTTCTACACATTCTATTGAACAGTAAAAGTAAAATCGAGAGGATACCCTTGATATTTTGACTCTACCTTGCAGCTGTATATAAAATCCGCATGTCTAGTTATCTGCAAACTGGTCCCGCTATGATATGCGAAGTTGATCAATGTTCATCTAATCAAAATAATCACCCAACCCCTAATAACGGTCTAGCTCCAGTCTTGACGAAGAGAACAGGTTTTCGATACCTGGAAAATATCATACGTATTGAAATATGAAGGCTGAATAGCGATCTCCGTGGAAGACCTTGCTTGAATATCAGCAAGGTCAGCACTGCAACATCAGTAATGGCCAGCTGGGGCGAATATATAGAAGTAAAATGCCAGATAAAATGAACATGAGATGAAAAGAAATAGAAATGGATGTGGAATTAAAAACCATACTACATGATCTACCAAAAAGGGCATTAAATTACAGGTTTCAAATTTTGTCGTCCGGATGATGTATCAGAACCCCTGACCCCACTTCGCAGGTTCTATTGGCTATATGTCGTGAAGAATGATCAGTAGAAGCGCGTCTAATCCAACAAACAGCTTTAAAATTAGCCGCAGACCGTGCTGGCACGAGCTGATTAGATCCATCAACGGATACACGCTTCACTCCGCAAAGGAACATATCCAAATATATGTAAGGTGTTAAAACTAAAATTGCTTTTACTCACAGTTTTGTTATTTTATTATTATGTTATCAGATCTGGATATCCCTGTGACATGTATTTGCAAATCGGGAATTTGATCCCCAACCATCCGGCTGTGATTGTGAAAGTGCTTACTTAAGCTGTTTGTTATCGGACTACTTATCGTCGTTGCTGCAGCAACAGACACTGCTGTTTCTTCCGTCATTCGCTCATCTGCTACCTCGACGACGACGCTCGCCAATTCCTTTATTATTGTCTGTGGGCTTCATACTTGACTTCCAATTCTGTTGCATATCCTCTTTCTTGCTTCATCTTCTTTGCTGATATCCACGAGCAGATAAAGACTGAAAGTGGAGTTATTTCCTTGCGATCTCACAATCAGACGACATTGCTGGATTATTTACTTGATCATTTTGCTTACTGCCCGCCATTACCGTTTCGTATCTGGGGCGGTTTTCTCTGGGTCAAATATTAATATATTTCTGCTAGATCATTTCCTCATTGATTGGTATATAACAGATTTTGCATGGATCGTAGTGAGTAGAACCACATTCTGACGCGTTGTTGTTTATTATTTCCTCGTGATGCTAATACTTCTCTGGCCCTTATCCAGAAAAGGCACAGGGCATCTATTATGCAAAACTCTGGAATATTTGTCGACGAGAACTCGTACCTATCAAAAGCCTCTGGATTTAGGTCGATTTTCCCCTCGAAGCCGCACGAAAGAACCCGCTCAGCTGGTGGTGCCCTGATCGGCAATCCTGTAAACAGCAAACATATGTCCATGCCTCCACCCATGTTGCCTCCCGACCACATTCATTCCTTAAATACACAGCGACCTTTATCTGAAATATCCCACAACCGCGATGCGCCAAACAGCCCCTGTCCCAGCGACATGATTCCGAACCTACCCACGGAGACTGGCTTGCATAAGAAGACCAAGAGCTCCGTGTCATTACGGTCATTGGTGAAGGATATTACAACGCCTAGCAAGGCCTTTTCAATAGAAAATGGAACGCGGGAAAAGAAACTAAAGAAAACAAAATCGTCAACCAGTTTATCAGCAATTTTCAAAAGGTCCCAGCGTGGACTAAAGAATGATGATTCCGACAACAAGCAGAAAGATAAGGAGAATATCATCTCTCCACAATCACCTAGGAGGGAGGTTTCGCCAATCTGGACTCAATTCGCTAGCCGGCCACTGCAAGATCAAGGAAGCAGTCGTTACATCCTTCAAAGAGGACGAACGTTAGACGAAGAAATGACACTGTATACCCCTCGAGACTACTCACCTTCCAGCCAGAGGAACTTTCATGGATATCAGCTACCGGCTCTAATACAACGACCAGATGCAAAACCGAGGCCCAAGACAGAGTATTTTACGTCTAGCTCTTCCTCCATTAAGGAGATGATTGTCGCTGTACATCGTTCAAGGTCCTCCAAAGACCAGCAACGGCCAAAAGGTGGAAATGATTGCATGGGGAACCAGGTCCGCTGTGGATCCCCAACGGAATACGAGCTGGAGAAACAACGCGAATCAAGTGGAAAGAGTGGATCCCGGGTAATGGCTGCCATTACAGCTTTCAACGCGAAGGGAAAGTCGAGCGAACCACAGAACCCCTCAGATCAGCAGGAGATCGAAAGAGCATTTGAAAAACTTTTGGTAAAATACCCCGTCCATCATATGTCTTTGGGATACAGTTAACCTAAATTTGTGCATGCGCAGGATTCCCGTAACATTCCCCATAATATGCGCGATAAGATGCGCTCCATGGACACGAATATCAAAGCTGATTTCATACGGAAACACCATCTTGATATATGCTCGTCCACTTTATCATCCCCCAGCAAGGACAAAAATAGTTTAAATGCTCCTGACGATGGCGGAAAGGGCTCGAATGGAAAGGGATCTAGATCGCAACCTCGGACCCGTCCTTTCTCCGTATCAAAAGGGGAGCCGTCATCCCCCAGAAAGAATGCCATTGACAGTGCGGCTTCTCACAAGCGTCCAAAATCTGTCGATTTATCTTGGGCCGGATCGTCCAAGGGACTTACTGGCTCCAGCTCAATGACTGGAATGGCCCCTCAGGCTCAACTGGATTATACAGCTGACCCCACAGACTTTGTTCATTACCTACATGAAGTACAGAAGCCAGAAATAGTAGAAGTTGGTAAACTCCACAAACTTCGAATACTCTTGAGAAACGAGACTGTGACGTGGGTTGATGCCTTTATTTCCCACGGGGGAATGGACGAAATGATCGAGCTTTTGTACCGTATACTCAAGGTGGAGTGGCGGTGCGTATTGACTGCTCCCTAAACTACTACTCAAATAAACAAAATGCTTACTTAGCAATCTTATAGGGAGGAGCACGAAGATGCACTGCTCCACGAAACATTGCTTTGCCTTAAAGCACTTTGCACCACCTCCCTCGCTCTCCGCCATCTTTCTTCCGTTGAGGCGGTGTTATTTCCAACCCTTTTGCACATGCTCTTCGATGAAGAGAAGAAAGGGCCGAGCGAATTCACAACTCGGGGCATCGTCCTTAGTCTCCTTTTTACTCACCTTTCCTCGGCATCCCCAGGCAATTTGGTGCCCCGAGCCAAGACTATCCTGTCGTATATGCGTGATCCAACGCTACCAGAAGAATCCCAGCCGTTGAACTTTATTGCTAATATTTATCAACCTCGGCCATATCGAGTGTGGTGCAAGGAAGTAAGCAACGTGACTAAGGAGGTATTTTGGATATTCCTCCATCACCTCAACGTTGTGCCCGTCGCAGAGTCCAGCGAGAAAAATTCGGAACCATATTGTAAACGCTACTTTCCTCCTCCTCGGCCCCCTGTCCCCGCTGCGCCTTATGTTGGTGGCGTTGAATGGGATGCCACCAACTACATCGCAAGCCATCTTGACCTTATAAATGGTTTGCTTGCGGCCATGCCTACTGCCAACGAGCGCAATACAATACGAGCTGAACTCCGAGCCTCAGGTTTTGAGAAAGTGATGGGTGGCAGTCTGCGTACGTGCAAGGAGAAATTTTACTCCTCCGTTCACGATGCGCTACGCCTTTGGGTTGCAGCAGCAGCTGAAGATGGATGGGATTGTAAGTATGTTCGCGAGGGCCCGCCACGGGGAACGGATTCTAGATCAAGAAGTCCAATGAAAGCTGCACCTGGGAGTCCGAAGAAGCGCGCAGGCTTGGTGAGCGACGAGCCGCCTCGTTTAGATCTGGATGGGGGGATTGTATCTGAAATAAGCGAAAACAATGCGGGTTGGCTATGACCTTTAATACAAACAAACCCATCGTTCGTTCGTGGTGTTGACACGTTTGTTTTTCCTCTCCTTTACTTTCGTTTTCCCATTGTTATATGGTGTTTGTTTTGGGGTGCAAGGTAAACTTTGTTTCCTTTTTCCTTTTTTTTTTTTTGCTAACTCTTCTTGATTGCTGGTTGAACCTGTTTATTTCTTTTTTGCATGTGGACATGTTTAATGAATGAACAGACCGCATAACCTACATATTCATGCTACCTAATATCAAAGGTTGCAACGCATAATGAATGGCTTCGAAATAATGACTGAATGGAAATTCTTCTTTTAACCTACTGTCTTGTCTTTCGGGCTTGGTCACGCGTCAGGCAGCTACCCTGGGAATTTTTCTTGTGCCAATCCTTTAATCATATTCGACCAAGCAGGCCATGAGGCGCGGTCACACAATCCTTATACATTACTTACTTATCCTCGCGTTCTCACGGCTGCAAATAACATTATCTTCAGAATGGAGCCGTCATACAACGCCTCATGGGAAATCCAGATTAAATACACACAAAACTCCATAATCCCAATAGCTATTATGCCACGGAATCTTTGACTTTGGCCCTGGGTGTCGGTATGTACTACAAAATATGCATACATAACACCATACATGAACGCATATGGTCAACAACAGCACATAAAGACTGGATATGTTAGCTCATGGTATCTAGCGGATACGATGCTACAGAACTGCCGATAGACAACGGGGTAAGTTGGGGATTTCAAGCTAATTTGGACCTCCGCTTGGCGTTGGGATTGGCATAGACTGGCAGCGCCACTCTCTGGAACTTATTGGGTTAGGAGGAATCAATCCTAAAGGCTGTACGGAGTATGTGGGGCCCCCAACTTGAAGGATATGAGACGTTGGGAGATCCGCATTGCCAAGACTCCGGGGAGAAACTTGTTTATCATCTTCTTCAAACGAGACGCCACTGCTTGGTTGACCTTCTGCGAACCCCAATGCCAAAAAATGCTCTATTGTTGGCGATTCTAATCGAAAATGTACTGACGCAGCGTTCTCCCCCTCACGAGATCCCAAACGGGCTCCCAAGCTTAGGATTGGATTCAGACTGCCTTGAAGAAGACCTAGTTCTTCTCATGTGCTCTTCCAAGGTTATTGAATTCTTTGTCCTGTCGTTTGATACAGAAGCAAGCGTGCAACATCCCAAGTCTCTGGACAGCTATCAGAGCCCGCGCATGTTTCTATGGTGGAGAAATGTCTATGCGCCTTTCTGTCCGGGAATCGTTGACGGTAAATGGCAGCAAAAACCACCTGACTGGATACTTGGGTGGGCTTATTGGCTCTGTGGTGTTTGAATCCGCCCTCGCTCTCGAGGTCCTCCAAGGCACAAGAGGTTGTGGCTAAGTTAACAGGATTAAATCAGCCATAGCTCCGGCCCATATTTCAGGCTAAGACCAGTTGCTCGGAGATGGGAGCTCCTTTCAAACTTATCCCCCCGCATTTTACTCGAGTTCGAATTCGATCTCGAACTTTGTGGATTTTCACCTTGGGACGTCCTGTCAACTTATCTCCCCGTTGGTGTATGAGCACTCCTTGTTCTGTAAATCATTTTGTATTCTATCCTATCAAGTCAGGAGGAGAACGCCATTGCGATTCTACAGCTTTGCCATTGGATTCTTCCCGAGCAAAAAGATTTTGAGTCCTTGAGCTATAGAGCCTACTATCTTAACTTGCCCCTCGGTGTCCCTACATCGCCACTGACCCCGTATGTTGAGCAGTGAATGAATGTGCGTCTGCAAAAGCGGGGATCATCATCCATCCTTGGTTTGGCTAACCGAAAGAATTACCTGCCTTCAATTCCTTCTACTTTTCGCATGACAGGATGATGGCGCTGAAGTTTGGGGAAGCCCAGCTCGGCAATACTTTAAAAGGACCACTATTGCACGTTCGGGAAAATGTCGATGTTGTTGACAAGAAATGGATACCAGGAAGTAACAGACCTCCACAGAATCGCATTCCAAACTTGATCCCAGTTTCTTTCGGCTCCCTCCTCCCCCTGTACTATTTCTTGAAGACTTATCTCCTATTTCGACAAAAAACAACAGGCCAATTGTTAATAAGACATGAGTCCATCTTCCGGTCCGGACTTCGAGAAGGGTGGTGAAGATAATACCTCACAAGAGGCCCATATCGAACATGGCGGTCTGGATGATGGCGAGGGCCTCAGCGTGAATGAGAGGGCCTTGATTCGCAAAATCGACTGGCGTCTACTCCCCATTCTAGGGGCCTTGTATGCAATTGCACTGATTGATCGTGTCAATGTAAGCAATCATATTACCGTGTTGCCTTTTATAAGTTCATGTTAACATATATGCCAGATATCCAATGCCCGCGTGGCAGGGATGAATGCGGAGCTGAAACTCCATATAGGCTCACGTTATAACATTGCTCTACTTGTTTTTTTCATCCCTTACTTTATTTTCGAGGTAGACCATGCCAAACACAGCTAATGCTGTCGAATGTGGATGATGTCACGCAAATGCAAACACCTAATACACTGCTTCTGCTAATACATTTTTGTTTTTGATCACCAGCTTCCTTCAAATATCGTCCTTCGAAAGGTTGGAAGCGCCAATTGGCTTTCCTTTATTGCCTTTGCGTGGGGAACAATTATGCTGGGACAGGTATGTGGATACTTTTGATGTTTCTTTCGTAACTTTTGTTAAACCTCTCTTCCAGGGATTCGTGCACAGCTGGCAAGCTCTTACAGCACTGCGTTTCATCTTGGGGTTCTTCGAATCTGGTGCGCCTAATGATCTCAACCACGATTTCAACGGAGCGATTGGTTAATAACGAATGCTATAGGGTTCTTTCCAGGTTGTGTGTATTTAATTTCTTGTTGGTATGTGAGGTATGAGGTGCAGACACGGTACGTATCCAATACCTATCTCAAAGGAAGGAAATACGAAAAAAAGAAAAAGAACATTGTGAATTCTTACTCTATACTGCACCAGCCTCGCTCAATTCTACCTATTTTCTGTTCTCGTTGGAGGCTTCTCGAGTATTCTCGCATTCGGCCTGATGCAGATGCAAGGATTGCGGGGATATCTAGGCTGGCGGTGGATTTTTGTGAGTTTCAGAAATCGCGAAATCCGGACTAAAGTGATATTGACTAACTTGAGATACAATATCCAAGATTATCGAGGGCCTTATCACCCAATTAGTAGGGATCGCTTCGTGGTTCCTAATCGTCGATTTCCCAGACAAAGCTCATGAGAAAAACCTCCTGACCGCACAAGAGGCTGAGTTTGTCAAACAACGCATTGAAAATGATCGGGCTGATGCTGTTCCTGACCCCCTAACTTGGGCAAAGCTTGGGAAGCATTTGGCGGACCTGAAGCTGTGGGCTTTGTAGGTGTTCAAGCGGAGCTTTATGTGTGTTTCATACGTTCTAACCAGCATTCAGTGCTCTTATGTTCATGTCAAGTACAATGCCTGCGTAAGTTTACCACTTTTAAGAGGACACCAGACCGGTATACTAACACCGTTATTCTAGATACGCCTTTGCCTATTTCTCACCGACCATCATCCAGGTAAGGCATATTGTGAAAGCGAGCTCTTCATCGCAGGTCAAACTAACTTTAAAATATTGCAGGGTATGGGATATAGTGGCGGCATTGCAAACCTCCTCTCCGCACCACCAGTCGTCTTCGCGGTGATTACCGCGTACACCTTCGCTTTAATAGGCGACAAATACCACATCCGCGTTCCCGTCATCGTCGCACAATGTGTCATCGGCATCGTCGGCCTCATGATCACCGCATACCACCCAAAACCCGGTCCTCGCTACGTCGGCATCTTCCTCGGCACTGCTGGGTGCCAGGGGAACATTCCAGCTATCCTAGCTTACCAATCCAATAACATCCGCATGCAATCTAAGAGATCCGTAGGGAGTGCACTGCAGATTGGATTTGGTGCCATCGGGGGCATTCTTGCGTCGACCACTTTCCGCGAAGTAGATGCCCCTAAGTATGTCCCTGGCTTGTGGATTACGACTGGGTTGCAATTCCTCATCCTGGGATTAGTGACTTGCACAACAGTTCACTTCTGGCGGAGAAACAAGCAGGTCGATGAAGGGACGGCGACGAAGCTGATCGAAGGTCTTGCAGGGTTTAAGTATACGCTTTAAGGAAAGGATGGATGATGTGGTATGTCTAATGACAGTTATTTCCTTAATGAAGGAGTCAACATAGTCAAGCATTACCATTTAGTGTAGCTAGTTAAATCTAATAAGAAACACTACAGTTTCTTCAGCTCACTGGAGTTTCTTGCTCCTCACTCAATATCACACGGACCCCTTTATCGAGCAACTGTTTCCAGTGACAATCAGTTGCAACCTCCCCTCCCTATCAATGCCTCGCCCCGCAATATTAGTTTACTACGCGCATTCCTTCCGCGACCAAAGCCACTACTCATTGTGATTAGTTCCTGCAACTGTGAACCAAGAATAATTAGGGTGGTCAAACTTTCTCGCAATTCCCACAGCGCTAACTCAGGAGCCCATGGCAAATAACCTTAACCCCGCATGAAAAATCCCGTTTGTCGTCGAGGCCCAGCTTAGCTGGCAGTGGGCCCAACGGGTCCACCCAAAAATTCCACACTTCCTGGATGAACCTATTCTCAGGGCTCTTAACCTGGTTCTTTCTTGTAATTTAAATCAAAGACATTGATGTGCCATCATATCCACCAATAAGAAGAATGCTTTTTCACAGGGAATACCACACAGCAGAATTTCCACCCTTTCTTTTGCACTGAGACATGAGCGCTTGATGTGATGTGGCCTGTCCACTCAGAACAAGTCCTCATTCGTGCCGTGTCCTGGTGCCGGAAATATTGGAGTGAGGCTAGATATCGATCTTACGAAGGATTTCTACCTCACATTGGTGAAGTCGTTTCGAAACCATCTATGGATGCCTATAGATACTGCCAAGGCAGGGCCATACAAAGAAACGAGCATCTAATACACCAGTGACTTTGGAATAAATGGCTCTTGCATATTTCCCCCAGTATAGCGTGGATAAAGGATCAGTGGTGATGAGTATTGAGATTGGTGGTACGTTTACCCTCGGAACTCAAGAGTGATTAATCTGGACATATATCGATCGCTGGAAGATCGCTGGAAGATCGCTGGAGGACACAGCTGGGAAATCTTGAGAAGATCTAGGTGAGATACTTCCCTCTGTGCTTCCAGTACTGGGACCTCATGATGGAGGGAGAAATGCTGATGGTGATCATTCAAACAACCAGCCACTAACGTGGAATATTTATAAATTTTTTTTGTTTTGTCTTTGCCATTGGTAATGCCCGACTCCAACCCGTTTCCTCCAGTTGATTTCAGAGATCCTGTTGTGGGGGTTCCTCGACATCCAATTGAGGAAATGCCAGATCATAGGTTCCGACCCTCCCAATTTCCATCCCGGGATCTTCCTCATCTTTTCTTTTATTTTTTTTTTTAAAAAAAAAATAATAAATAAAAATAAAAGTAAAACATAAGAAGAAAGAAAAGAGTTTGGCCTTCGTATTGAAATGTTGGTAAGGGTTTCTTTCATGGACGGGTGCACGCGACGATGATCTCGACTCCGCACTAGAAAAGTTATATGAATCCATATTCAGCTTCGGAGAGTCGCTGTATACGCAATAAGGAGCACACAGCCAGGTCAGATATACTCATCTCCAGGGCATGGTGTCCTCGGGGAGGAGAATTCATGGGTATAAAATACCAGTCCCATCTCTCTCACCCCCAAACTACTTTTTTCTTCTTCGTTACTAGCCCTTCCACGGCTAAAATCAAACATAGCACCCATTTGTAAAAATCTCCGGAAACAATTCCATATAAGAGATCATTTGCCCTTAAACAAGTAAAACACCTAATCTCCAGCAAATAAGAGATAGGGGCAGAACAAGCGAAAAAAAAAAAAAAAAAAAAAAAAAAAAAAAAGAGGCATGGCACTATTGCCATCAGTAGTTCAGCATACCCGTGAAACGGTGCTGCAACATTTAACCTCATCGGTGAGACCAAAGAAATTTCCCAGCTTGAGGTTAGACTGCGCACAGCCTACCTGGCCCGCAAGTCAGGGGCCAGTGACGAAATCATCGTAGCTATCTTATTTCAAGATATCTTGTGCCACTCTCTCATGACAGTAGTACGAAAGATATACGGCACTAGGTAGAGAGTGTATCTGCATCAGTTGGGGTTCAGAGAAATGATTTGCACTTTGTCATCCGGATATGTAAATCCTTTCAAGCTTGATATACAATACCAAAAAACATATATAAATTGGATGAAATTTTCAAAGGCGATAAGGAAACTGAAGTAACAGAGGAAGCTAAAGGCCATTTTCTGAAGCAAAAATTATCTATCCGTACCTGGGTTGAAATGGAAAAAAAGCCTGGCAGCTGCACACAAAACATCGTTGCAGGATTACGATGACATAGCCACCAAATACCTTATCGGGAGGTTGAAAAGGAATTCAGCTTCCCCTGTTTATCTGCAGTGAGATATAATTTATTGAACAGTGGAATTCAGTCACTTTCTTCATCCAAGTTCACGATCAACCTTCACTCTCCACTCAAGACAATACGTTCTCCCCCAGCACCCCACTGTCATTGTGTGCGTCGATGGTTTGGACCCATCCTACCTACCGGAGTGAACTCCAACACAACTCCCAACACTAAAATCATTCATTGAAAGCGGCTTCCACGCCCCCGCAAAATTCGCCATGCCTTTCTTCGCAAACCCAAACGTCTCCATCATCACCGGAGCCCCGCCCTCCGTGCACCAAGTCGCAGGAAATCTCTTCCTCGGCCGCGAGACGGGTGAGGAAATATGATCGAAGACAGTAACCTGCTCAGGGGCTCAACGATTCTGGCGCAGATTGCTAAACGGGGTGTGCGGGTTGCAGCGGTAACTGCGAAGCATAAACTGAGAGAAGGATCCTCGTGCATGATCTTGTGGGTAACCAAAGTCAAAGCTAAAGCAAAGGTGTAAAGAATTAAGCAATTTGCTTTTCTGCGCAAGATGCGAGCAATTGTAGCATGGATGAGAACGGCATATCAGATGTAGAGGCGTGGATAGGGCGCTCCGCACCGCCTCAATATTCTGCCGAACTTTCCCTATTTGTGTTCGACGCGGGCACCAAGCTATTGCAGAAGCGTGCGGGTCTCTTCTATCTGACTCTGTCAGACTATATCCAAGACAAGCACGCACCGGGCACAAAAGAGGCAGCTATGTGAGCGACTGGGTAGGTTGGTTGAGCTAGGCGCTCTGGTTGTTGTAACCGGTGACCATGGGTTGAGTTACAAAAGCAAGAGCAACACTGAAGAAGACGGAGAACAAATGTTTTGTTCCTGGAGGACGAGTTAAAGGCCAGGTTTGGACTGGGGTGTGCAAGAGTTAAATATCCTATCACTGACCCCTTTATTCGGCATCAAGATGCACTGGGTTCTTTTGTTAGCGTTTACGTAGAAAGCTCTGCAGAGAGGCAATTACCAGCCATGCTGGAGTTGTGTCGTTCCAGTTCGAGCCAGGGTGAGCTTGCAGTGAGCGGGGAGGCGGCGGCGAAAATGTTCGATCTTCCCCTGGATCGAGAGGGGCATATTGTGGTTATTTAAACGAAGAATGCGGTGATTGGGGAGCGGAGGAGTGAGCATGACCTATCAAATTTGGGAGATAATCGTTTGCTGTCTCACGGAGGGCCTAGTGAGCAGGCGTACCCCTTTTGATGTCAGTTGGCGTGAAGACTCCCGAGCTGCGTCAATGAGAATGTGGAAGAACTATGACATTTTTGATCTGACGCTTAACTGGTAAAATCCAAGGTTTGGGGAAATGACGGTGCCCGATGTGAGCCAAGCTTATCCGTATATAATGGACGATTGTATCCGCATTGCAGAAAATATATCATTTTTCCAGTATTTATAAATACATACATAAAGGAACCTTCCAACATTAACTCCCAAAACACCCACCCAGCAGCACCCTTAAGAATTGCTCTTGGCGGAGGATGAAATTGGCGTGGTTGGCTCCCCCTGAGATGAAGGTGAGGACGGAGTTGATAACAAACCATTTAATGACTTATGGACATAATCTCGTATCTGTAGCAAGATTACAAAAGAGTTTTATCAGTTTTCGGTGAACACTATTTGTGAGAGAACAATATTCCAATTGCTAAAGATAAAACAACAGATAGACACCCCACTTACAGGTAGAAACGGATTTTCCTTCTCTTCCAAATCCAGATACATTACGCAATATATCAAAACATCTAGTGCCCGGAGGGGGGAGGGGAAAGAAAAGGACAAGTCAGCATATACCCTAAATGTATCATTTTGGATAATAAAAAAGCGTAGGAGATTTACATACAACCAATAAGCATCCATTGTACAATCTTCGTCCATTTAGACCATGTTGGCCGTGCCCACTTTAGCTTGGCCCGCCGCCGATACTTCCGCTCTAATCTAAACTGCTGTTTTGGTGACCACTTTGACATATCTGGTGGCCATGTCCGCTTTGCGCGAAATGGGTATATGGACAAGGTTTCCGGCTTTTGACTGCTTGGGGTAGAGGCACCTGTTGTGGAGGATGAAGACTCGATGGAGGATGAGGATGAGGATGAGGAGAAATTTGAAATTGAGGTGTTAAATGCACATTTCTGTATGGACTGGAAGGGTGAGGGGGAGGCAGCGGATTTGAGCAGATGTGGGACGGGGGATGGTCGAGCGGAGGTCGGTATTCGGGTGGAAAATGAACGGCATAGGTATGAAGCTGAGGGGGAACATCTCTGAGGGGTAAACGAGTTAATTCAAGCCCTTACATAGCAACATGGCCAGCAGAAAAAAGAATAGAAACATACTATAGAGCTATTGAAGGCAATCGGTCTTCTGGTATTGAGACTTCGCTGACATGCGGCTATTGCTATCTCAAAGCTTGACGCTGCTCGGACAGCCAGTCTCGAAGTCCCTGCCATTGACATGGCAAAACTACGACGAGTTATGCCACCGGGCTTAAAAATATCTTGTAGGCCGAGTGTAGGGAGCAAAGGTTTTTATCGGTTCACGAAATGGTTGGACGGGCAAAGGTTGCAGGTTTGAACATAAGACGACTGGCTGGTTCTTGGCAACCCCTTTCAAGCCCTAAACATTGAAGTTACTGTACTTTGATGTCAGATATATCCACATGTATCTACGTACAGAAACGCCATAAACCTTTCTCAAGGATGGTTACATTCAATTAAATTGATTGCAAATATGTATATAATATCAGCGAATATCCTGCATTACTACTAATCCTTCCGCCACGAGCGCATATCAGGGAAGGAGTCGGCATCATCATCACCATCTTTTCCTTCTGCCCCCAAAATACATTCATATTTATACTCTGAAATATTGCCTATATGGGAGCAGAAACGTATCCAACCGATCCTACCATACGGACCTACCACAGGCACGGGAAATGCGGCGTAAGTCGGTCCCTAAATTTCAATAGTCGAACGGCATTGCCCCGTCTTGTTGTCCATACCCAATTGTCACCTACCACCCTTCCCGTCGGCCTCTGGGTATACCGAAATACGCAATATGTCACTGTATGGCATAGTAGACTGGAATCACACACGATGCAAGCTCAACGAGGTCATCTGAAGATATCCTTTCAATCGACGAGATCCGTGGAGTATCTAAGAAACATGACGGGTTCACATACAGTTATGATCCAGCAGAGAGGGTATGTGTGTAAGGCAGCATAGCCACCGTATTTGACACTTTTCCAATCTCCATTCTTGCGCTTCGAGGGCGTGCCAAGTGTAAAAAATCAACGGTCAGATAAAAGATGCCAAAGAAATATAAGGTGGCATTTTTCGAGAGATAAACAAGAGCAATCTATGTCAAAACAATCCACAATACGTGGTTTGACTACCAGAAGACCCGCCAATTCAATTGCGACTTCAATATGGCCTTAAAGGTGGTCGACAAGCACCATCTCAGGTAAATAATCAAAAACTGGGAAATAAAAGTGCGTATATAATAATATCTCTTTGAAGAAGCAGCATTGAGACTCAAACAGCTCTCTCTCTATGCAAGTCTTGAAAATGCTTGAGTGGGAAGTTCGAAATATCTAAGGTATGTCATATGAAGAAACCAGGGCCAACTTTTTGTCTCTTGTTTAGGATAATATAGGGGCACCATGAATTAGTTTGCTTGTTGATTTGTTCGCCGCCGGCCTTTGACTTGTTACGCTCCGCCTCTTGCACATGATCTAACTAGCCCTACTACACGTGATCTAGATAGCCTGTATATAGCGTAGCTAGCCTCCCCTCCCGGATGAGAGGATCGCCGAACGAAGATACTATGTACGCGATATTCGTCATCAGATTTTATATAACTATTCGGTACCTAGATGAAGACCGGCAATGGCATCGGGAATCTAGTGTGCAAGCCAGAACTTCAAGGATGGTAATGTCGAAGGGAATTGGCGGCAAGGGGAAATATCAAGGGCCAATGTCCTGGCCTGTCCTGCTCCCTCTTCGCAGCTGCTGGCTCTGTCAGGCATTTGGGGTAACTAACCAACCGGGTTTAATTGAAATCCTGCACAATGTTCACGTGTGAAAACTCTGATCTCAGTCAGTCACGTGCACATGGCTTCATGGAACAACCATTATCCCAGAAGCCTCGGCATTTTGTGAAGGCGATACTACGGAGTACGGATTAAATTTTCTTCGAATGGTTCAGCGTCGATTCGATATTTATATAGAATTAACGAATCCGCTCAAAGGTTGTTTGCCCTCTCTTCTTATTGTTGTAAATCCCTTTCATCCCCCATTATACCCTTTTGCTCCTTGGATTTCTCTGTGCAATACCTCTCTAATCCCCCTACATCCACACACTCACCATGTCTCAAGGTACCCCTCCATCTGCTTCTCCGTCCAAAGGCGCCCTTCGTCACTTTTACCACTGTTTCAATGCTGACATGTGATAATCCCTCACAGCATCGCAACGTCTCTCCCAGGTCACTTCTCACCTCTCTAGCAAGGGTGGAGTCGCTGCCATCACCACCAAAAACCCCGATGATATTGTAGTGACCTGTGCCCTGCGATCTGCCCTCACCAAAGGTGGCAAGGGCGGCTTCAAGGACACCGCCGCATCTGATCTGCTGGTTGGCGTATTCAAGTCTCTGATCGACAAATCCAAGATCGACCCCGCGCTGGTCGAGGATATTGCTGTTGGATCAGTCTTGCCTCCCGGAGGAGGTGCTACTGAGTTCCGTGCCGCCGCTCTGGTCGCTGGGTTTCCCGTGACTACCTCTGTCAAGTCTCTCAACAGACAATGCTCCAGCAGTCTCCAGGCAATTGTTGATATTGCCAACGCCATTAAGGCCGGAATGATTGAGGTTGGCATCGGTGCTGGCGTTGAGAGCATGTCGCTACAATATAGGTAACTCTTCCAATTAAATATTATGCCCTACCATTTGAAATACGAAAGTAAGATCCCACTAACCCGCCCCCAGCCCTGCCGCCGTGTCTGATTTCTCCGAACTGCTGGAAAACAACCAAGAAGCCGCCAACTGCAAGGTGCCCATGGGCGTCCTCTCTGAGAAAATGGCCAAGGACCGCAAAATCACTCGTGCTGAGCAGGACGCCTTTGCCGCATCCTCCTACCAAAAAGCCATCAAGGCGCAAGAGGCCGGCCTTTTCAATGAAGAGATCGTCCCATTGACCGTCAAATTCGTCGATCCCAAAACCGACAAAGAATCCACAATCACTGTCTCCCGCGATGACGGCGTTCGTCCCGGTATCACAGCCGAATCGCTCTCCAAGATCCGCCCCGCCTTTGCCAAGGACGGCAGCATCCATGCCGGCAATTCGTCGCAGATTTCAGATGGCGCTGCCGCCGTGCTGCTCATGAAGCGTTCCACTGCTGAGCGCCTGGGTCAGAAGATCATTGGCAAATACGTCACTGCCAGCGTGGTTGGTGTCGAGCCACTTCTCATGGGTATTGGGCCGTGGAAGGCTATCCCCGTCGCCCTTGAGAAGGCCGGCTTGTCTAAGAGAGATGTGGATATTTATGAGATTAACGAGGCTTTTGCGTCACAGTGTGTGTGGTGTGTTAAGGAGCTAGGACTTCCGTTGGAGAAAGTTAACCCTAAGGGTGGTGCTATTGCCTTTGGACACCCGCTTGGCTGCACGGGTGCTAGACAGGTTTGCACTCTCCTGACCGAGTTGAAGAGGACCGGGAAAAAGACTGGTGTTACTAGTATGTGTGTTGGTACCGGGATGGGTATGGCTGCCGTCTGGGTGGCGGAGTGAGTCACTGATGCGCCGAGGCAGCAGAGGTTGCGGTGATTACGGTCTATTTTCCTTTTCAAGAGACGATTAGAGCGAAGGTGTGCTCATCGTGTTTCTTTCTTTCCCCCCCCCCCCCCTTGTTATGTAGTTGATCTTAAAAGGTCTGTGTATCAATATATACTGTTTATTTTCTTTTTTCCAGTTGTGTTTGTACTTGCGCTATGAACATGACAGTATATATATCCATTTTGTTCAATGAAGCTTATGAAATTAAAACAAATACTCATATATCTATCCTTTCATACTGGTATAAACATTAAATCGTCTATCTTAGTTAAGTCTGGGAGTAAAAGGGGTAATTTACCCCGACCAAACAACTTAGCCCAACCCTCGCACTTCTAGTCCTCTCTCCCCAGTTCATTGAAGACAACAAGAAAGGGATGGGAAATTATTCCATATTAGCATGTTGAGTTAGTGAAGCCAGTTTCGTTCTCAGGACGAACGAAGCCAAATATACCAAGGTTAGTGGAAAGCATTGATTAATTTTGCTGCCCCTTTAATGTCAAGAACACGGATGCACCTAAAAAAGAGAAATCCCAACATATGGTCAATCTGTATGTGCATAACTACAGAAGTTATATGGTGACACGGAAGAGATAATGATAACATACATAGTCCATGTTCAGGCGTTGAAAATGTTCTCCGAGATGAAGCATCTGTTCAAATCAACCGAAAAATACAAAAGACACCATGGGTGACGCAATATGTAACCCGAACTTAAGTTCCACGATGCTTTTTAAACGCATCAAAAACACTAGATCCGTTCAGGACATCTTCCTTGACCTTCTCATCAGCCGCCACAAGCTTGGCCATTAAGGCGAGAACATCGTCGAGAAGCTCGGCAGGGATAACCGCAACCCCGTCGAGCGGGTCACAGAACGCAATGTCACCCTGGATTTTCAGAAGTTAGAAAATGCAATATAGGATATGGGCTTTGTATTTTCTTTCCGGAAAATGGCTTCTGAAGGAATAAATATTAAATCGTCCTATTGCCATACCGGAGAAACCGTAACTCCACCTATATTGACAGGGACATTTCGTGCTCCAGGTCTGGACTCCGCACCAGAGCCTACAGTCGATGTAGCTTGGGCCCAGATCTAATAAATATGTTCTGCGATTAGTGGAGGATCATATTTAATGCATGCTTAGATTGATTAGATATAAATTTCATACGTGCCTGTAACTTTGTACTCCGCAATTCAGCCATATCCCTTATTCGGCCATTCACAACTACTCCTTTTACACCTAGGACCTTCATTCGCGAGGCCATTATACCACCCAAAGCGGCACAATATTGACCGGCAGGCTGCTCAATGACCACGACGGTCCCTGGTTGTGCCCAGTCAACCCAATGGCTACCAGCCGGGATGCCATGGTCCTTTGATGGTGACGTATCTTCCGGGACAAGGTCATGTTTTGGTATGAATTTGAATGTCGATACAGGAGCGACAACTTTTGGTTGGTTTTCAACGTTGATGCGGGACGGAGAAAAGGGGACTTTTTTGTCATAAAATAGTATTAATTTGTCACCCTCTCATGTCAGACCAAAAAGAACTCGACTTTTGCTTTCCTTTCTTTCCCCCGCTTTTTCTTTCTATGCCAGTACGGTATAAATTGGTATACGGGCTAAAAAGGGGTCTCATAGTAATATCCCCAGAATATAACTGGGCTTGTAGCATCACCGGGAACGTGCATGAGATCTGGAAATGTTGGTGCTCACCGAGATCTGCAAGGAAACCAGCTCGAGTAGTTTCGCCTTTGGGGACTTTCTGGAGAGCGAGAAGAGCATCTGAAACCTGCAAACTGGCGTCAGCCCCAGCTAGCTACCCTACAGTACGTATACTCAATGCATAAATACCAAAGTAGTTTATAAATACTTACATCGCAAACCGAATACTTCTGCAGAGCAGACAGCTTTGCCTCCAGCGATTTTGATGTCATCCTGAGCAGCTTGAGAGAATCGATAGGCCGGCAACACGGAGCAAATATTTGGCCAGGAACCAAGCTAAATAGTTTGGCAAGCTCAGACTTGATAGCGACAGCAAGAAACCTTGAACTGATAAATATAAGGGCGGTTGAGATTCTTCCCAGCTTCAATATGTTGACAAGTGTCCACAGCCTCAAGGACCAAACAGCGCATCTTACAGATTATGATGTTACAAATATTTACGTCCCCACTCACGACTCACCAAACCTTCACAAGATTCGATCCGCTCACGACGGGAAGACCCGGTTAGACCTTGGGCATGCAGATATCGCGTCTTGGATTTCGGCATAAGAATTCTGGGGTTTATGCTTGATCGCAAGGCTGGAAGTCTTGAAGGGAATATTCCAAGGTTATTAATTACGGATTAGTAACCACAATTCCTCCAGCCTGCCTCTGCGATCTCGCCCAAATAATTATAAATATACTGAATCCAATATATCAGCAGCCGTCCAGAGCGCTACGTATTAGATTGTTATCGCCCGCCAGCGTCCATGGATCTGCCAAGAAGAAACAGCCCCGCTCTATCAAGCCTCCAGGAAGATTGGACTCTGAACTATAAAGACCTGGAGAGCCACTGTTTTTGAACCTTCTGGATATGTAGCAGCTTTCTTAAAGTATCTTCTCTCAATGAATCACGGGCAAGGACCTTGAATGCCCATTCACTAGTCCAATATGGCATCTCAGAGGCCTATATACAGTCGCGAACAGCTCGTCAAATATGTCAGCTATATTTATAACCTCCCGTTAGACCAAGGATTGACCAAACTATCAGAAATTGAGGATCTCGTCCGGCTTGACCCTCTCAAGGCATTAACTACGCTTCAGCAACGGCAGCTCGCAGCCATACCGTTTTCCAATGTGGTGCTACACTACTCGCAGCACCGTACCATCTCCCTGGACCATGACCGCCTATTCCATAAACTCATTGAGAGGGGCCTGGGTGGCTACTGAATGGAAAACACAAACATCCTGGCCATCGTGATGCGCTCGTTGGGATACCAGCTTTACACAACAGGAGGAAGAGTGAGCAAGACTTATGATGGGCCTAATGCTACTGGCGAGTTTACCGGATGGTGAGAACCTTGATCAGAAATAATCTTGTGAGAGCAATAGAATAAAAGAGAAAGTGGAGAGCACAGTAGAAGGGTTTAGGGCTATTGTGTAATGCAGTATGCATGAGCTGATCCGTTTGTGTAGGGGCCACATGATACTCATAGTGACCATTAAAGGGAAAAAATACATGGTATGCTCCCCATCCTTCCCTCTGGAGACATTTCATTAGTGCTCATTGCTTAAAACATCTAACATAGGTCGATGTTGGTTTTGGACCGAATGGCCCAACCCGCCCTGTCCCACTTGAGGAGAATAAACCCCTTACGTCCTTCATTCCCGCACACGTGAAAATGATCAAAGACAACATCAAGCCCAATGTTGATCAAAGCCAACGACTCTGGATATACCAAACCCAACCTAATCCTGAAAGTGGATGGAGAGATGCCTTCTGCTTCTACGAAATCGAGTTCCTGCCCCAGGACTATGAGATTATGAACTTCTGGACAAGCACGCACCCTAAGAGCTTCTTCACAAAGAAATTATTTTGCACCAAATTCCTTCTGAATAAGGCGGAAGACGATATCATCGGTACCTTATCGTTGATGGGGATTTATTTGAAACGGAATATCAATGGGAATGTAGAGGAGCTTGCCAGCTTTAACTCTGAAGATGAAAGAATTTATGCATTAGGAAAGTGGTTTAATGTACATCTCGAACCAATGGAAGTTCGAGGAATGAGGGACTCGGTCTTGGAAATTTAGACATAGGGTTGAGGCGAGACCACGGAGCCAATTCTTCCTCCCAAATCCATAGTTCGAATGGTTTTCTGCTTTGATCAGGGAGTGAGATAACTTATATGTATTGTTGGTAAAGTGTAGAGATGTAAAAGGAGTCTTTTAAAAAAATCGTCTCTCCGTCTAATTATATATAGTCAGCGTCGGTACCGGCTCGAGGAAAGGAACCGCGAGTCTAATTGATACTGACCTTCCATGGATGATTCACCTCGAATCCCACTGGCGCCTCATGGCTGCTGTCTTGGCCTCTAAATATCCCCGTGATCCTCTGATCCCGTTCCATCACTAATAAAAGTCAGTTTTTGCTGCCTGGCCGCATGGCTTTTCCGTGTACATACTTTGCTGTTCAAGGGTCAGCGAGACATCCATTCAATTGGCTCAGCACAAGAAAACATACCTTATCCCACGTATCGATGCCCCGTCTTGGGTTTTTTCTTCCGTTTGAGTAGTACTTCACCGTCGACAATCCGAACCCAGTGACGCCGAACATCTAATGCGTGGAGAGGTGAGCCCTTCTTTTCAGATAGAAGGTGTGCTGGGAAACCTACCGCAATGATGATCCCATACGGGAGAAGGGCTTCGAAGGGAACACCCATAGCGTAATATACGCTGTAAGGAGATGACCCAAAAAAATCTCAGCAAGTTTCGAAAAGAGATGCCGCAATTGCACAGAGATGCCGAACAAGAAAACGTTGAAATTGGGGTTTGTTGGCGGAGGAGATTGGTATCTCACAGAACAACAGCTAAATGACGATGGTTAAGAGAGAACCGAATGGGGTTTAGTGTGGAGATGGCTTGGCGTTGGTGAGTAAGCAAATTTCATCAAACCTGACCTCGCCCAGCCAAGGGGCTCTCAAGGAGATAGCATCTTGCTGGCGACAAGTAGACTGAGGGTTGAGCTGGTTGGAGTTTACGCGTCTACTTACTTATTCCGTGGGTTCTACCTTGTGCTTTTGTTTTTTTGTCATCTCGTCTTCGCTCCCAGCGCGTTTTGCCAGCAATCCCCATACTCAAGTCATTGAACTTCAGCTAATAGATTTACACTTCTTTCAGATACGGTACTATACGACTTTGGGCCTTGATCGCATAACTGGTTTCCTTGTGTGGGAGGGCTATAGGTTCTGTTGATTGTGGTGGCAGGTGTTGATTTTGACACTCGTATATCCACAACTCGGAGCGCAAGCGTACTCCTCAACCTTCTCCCCTTCCCTTTGACGGTAAAGGGGAAAAGACACTCTGTGCGGTCTTCTGCCAACCCGTGCACTCTGGCCCAATGGTCTAGGTGCATTGTCAATCTGGCGACTGTAGTAGCTTATACCATGGCGGCGACAGTGCCGGCCTCATACGGAAACACCACGATCGATCATCAGCCAGACCTGGTTGACAGTGACCAGGATGCAGAGGGTGACGAGGACGATGAGTTATATCCTGCCCTCCCACCATCTGCAACTACCGTATCGCAGGGAATTGACGATAGGACGCCAAATCACCGGAAGGATGTTGAGGCAATCGTAACCAACGATCGAGAATCGAATGAGGTTGAAATAGGGCAACCAATTCAGGATGGCTCTGCTGGGGAGGATGATATACCAGACGCCAACGATAAGGATTTTGTTGCTGATGTTGATGTTGATGACGATGAGGAGACTGAGGCTGTCGGGGCTGTAAAGTTCCCAGACGGTGAAGCCAACTCCGACATCGATGACGCAGACGACGATCCTGATGACCCAGATGCTGCGTTTGAAAACGAATCCAGCGAGTCCAAGGTGAACTCCAATATCGACTCTTCTGAGGAATCGGAAGTAGATGAGGAATGGGAGGCCGAAAGCAATGACAAAGATGATGTAGATGCAGATGCATTAAATCCAAACAATTGCATGTAAGTTCAAAGATGTATCCATGAAAGAGGCAAACACTCACTGATTATATGCAGAGTCTGTGGCCAAGATGAGGAACATGATCCTGGTGAAGAATTCGAGGACTATTTATCCTGTGCTGTTTGTGGTGATCATTGTAAGTTTTGATGGGTTTTTTTTGATGGGGTTTAAAAAGCTTGGCCCATCGTCCCCTGACCGCATTGTGGAGTTGAACCTAATTGATTGATTAATAGGTCATCGTCAATGCGCACGAGAACGAGGAGCTTTAAATAACGAAGAAGGTAAATTTGATTGCGCTTTTCTAACCCATTTTTGTAACGGGGCCGACCTCTGGAGCTATCTAACTTGTGAAATTGTGATAGATGCTGAAAATTGGAGGTGCCCCGGCTGTGTTAAAAACAATCTGGAACCTGACAAGCCTGCGGAAACCGCATCCCGACGAAAATCTGGCACATCTAACTTCGCAAGAGATCTGCTACCCGCACATAGCAAAGAGTTGGGACCAGAATCTCATTCCATTTTCAGCTCATTAATTGTCGACGATGATCCGTTGGATGGTTCGAGATCACTCCGGAAACGCAGGGCTTCGGATGATGTTCCCGAAAGTTCCAACACCGCCCCTCAAAAGCGACAGAAGAAAACGCCCACCAGATTCGAGGGGATGATCCCGACTCCTCTGCCCAGGAACATGAAAGCAGTCCAGGCATTAATCGAAAATTCTGCAGAGAGCAATTTTACACCCCGCCAGTCAAGATCACGCAGAGCACGGAAGACCGAAATGCCCCTCTGTAGAATTGTTCAGCGGCAGCATGGAAAGATCGTTCTTTCATTTCGCCTAAACAGCACAAAATTAAATAAGATCTTGAGTTCCCAACCAAAACCCAAAAATTCAAGACGGAGACCTCCAAAACCACCTCCAGCAGCTGAACCACACCAATCGCACTTTCACCCTGTTACACCTTTGCCATACAGCGCTCCCTTCTACTCCTTTCACGACCGGGAAAACGATGAATTGAAATCAAAACCGTACGGAGGAATATTATCAGAAGCTGATGCTGACACATCAAAAACACTTCCTCTTGCCCCAGATCGTGAGAAGTTCGAGGCTGCTCGTCAAAAAGCCGAAGAAGAATGGAGACAAAAAATGAACGCTGCTGAGCAAGACGGGGAGTCCGCACCTCGTGCTTCACAAAAGGTCTCCGGCCCACCAAGTAAAATTAAATACATAAGCTTTGGTGGTTATGAGATTGAAACATGGTATGCTGCACCCTATCCAGAGGAGTATAGTAGAAATCGAGTGCTCTACATTTGCGAATTCTGCCTCAAATATATGAATTCGGATTTCGTCGCTTGGCGCCACAAACTCAAATGTCCGGCGAAACATCCGCCTGGAGACGAGATCTACCGTGATGGATCTGTCTCTGTTTTCGAGGTTGACGGCCGCAAAAACCCGGTATATTGCCAAAACCTTTGCTTGCTTGCGAAGCTCTTCCTCGGGTCTAAAACTCTCTATTACGACGTCGAAACCATTTCTATTTTATGTCATGACCGAATATGACGAGTTGGGATGTCACTTCGTTGGCTACTTTAGCAAAGAGAAGAGACCTAGCTCGTCAAATAACGTATCTTGCATCCTAACTCTCCCCATTCACCAACGGGAAAGGTTATGGCAATCTTCTGATTGACTTTTCCTATCTCTTGACAAGAGTGGAACGCAAAACTGGGTCTCCAGAAAAACCCCTCTCAGATATGGGACTTGTTTCCTATCGCAATTACTGGCGACTTGTTTTGTCATACCAGTTGCGACATCAAAAATCTCCTGTTAGCATTGCGGAACTTTCAGAACGTACCGGTATGACAGCGGATGATATCGTATCAGGTTTAGAAGGACTGCGGGCCTTAGTTAGGGATCCCCAGACAAAAACTTATGCCCTACGGCTAAATTACGCATATTTTGAGGAATATATTCAAAACTGGGAGAAAAAAAATTATATTCGGCTGAATCCAAACGCTCTTGTTTGGACTCCCTACGTTATGGGTCGCAGCAATCAGTCACACTACGACCGGGCACCTCTACATACGGTCGCTCCGCGAGACGAGAATGACGGCGACGGTGAACTAGACATTGAAGGCAGCGGCGATAACAATGTTTATGGCGCCAGCAAGTCGGAGAACATGAATGGTGATACATCTAGCATGCAAGACGGCATGTTCAACGGACGCAACCGAGCTACATCTGCCTCTCCTCCATTTGATCCCCCTGGCCCACCATCCATGAATGTAATGCCGCTTCGTGGCTCTTCGTCGAGGCGAACTAATGGTGCCAGCACTCCGTCAACATCGTCCTCTATGCTCAACCCAGCAGCTGGGATCCCTCCCACACGATTCGAAATATTCCCTCCCATTCAAGGAACTGTCACGAAACGACGACCTGGTCGACCATTTGGCTCAACACGTGCCAACAAGTATAAAGGACGCGCAATTTCGGCTGCGGCTGCGGCTACGGCTCCGGCAACCGCCCGGACAAGTGGTCGGAGTACTCCGAAGCGAACCACCAGCCAGATTACCAGTACTCTAACGCCCTCAAGTAGAGGGTCTCGCCTCAGAAGGGGGAGAAGCAGTAAGCTATTTGATAACAATGATGCTGACGAAACTATGGGAGACGGTATCGACAGCGGGGAATTTGGCGAACTTGAGCAATTGGGAATGTCGGAGTGTTGTTCGGCGCAAATTGATACGGCTGGTGTGGATGTTGAGGCGAAAGAGGAAGTCCGTCCCAATCACAGAGCCGATGATGATGACGTTTCCTCTGAGAGGGATGTCCAATCAAATAGCAAAGGCAAAACTGCTGGTGCACTCGAAGATGGCAACACCAATATTGACAAGGTTGCATGCACTGTCTCACCAGCTGGAGTCAGCAAAGTTCACAAGGGCCGCACCACGGATATAGATATCGTGAACCATAAAAGTTCCCAGGAATCTAACCACGGGGCGGACAGTTGTCTCCAGTCAGTCGACGGTATTGGAGGAGAACCCTAGGTACCTGAGATGTACCAGCATGCCGATTTCTGCATCTGCGATCTAAGATGTTTCGACGAGGGACAGACATGGGATATCCTAAGGCTCAACGAGGACGGGAGCTTATTGGAATTCCATTTCTTTTCTTGTGGTAGGCGTGATAAGGGTTTATTACATGGATTGATTCACCGGGGGGTCATGGACAAGTCAGCGATATTTTCGCCTCACACTTATTTTACACCACAACCGTTTGGCTTTACATTTCTTCCACATTCTTCCACATTTCTTCCCCGTCATCAAAGCCGTATCACCTTGTTCTTGATCACATTTACAGATTTACACATTTTATTTCCCCTTTTTCGGGCCTGCAACCTAATGTAAACACATGTGCTCTCCTTTCCTTTCCTACCTTCCCCAATCCACATTGGCTGCAGTTTCACAGTATGTTTTCTTTACATTGAAACTGATATGGCATATCCTTTCCTCAAACCTCCTGCAGTCCCTCCCCTAAATATGCCGACAACCCTTCATTGCACCCTGTATTTTATTCTTATGGTTTCTTTCTGGTTTGAACAAATTTAAAACTATGGGAATTTTCTTTTGGCTCATGGAATGGCTATGGCGTATGCCTTTCGTCTTCTTGGTTTATTTTATGTTATTTTTATGATCTTGCCCTCAAGGTTCTCTCACTCATCAAGAGAGTGCTACCAAATGCTGCTACATTGTTCTACCCCCATATTAATTTCAACCCACAAGAAGTGATTGTCTAGAGTACAGCATGCTCTGGTTCTCGTACGTGCATCTTGAGCCACCAAAGTTACCAGGGTTCTGGCTAAATGGTACCTTGTGTCCGTGCGATGTTGTATCTACGGATAACATGGTAATGGATCTTGAATTTTGCCCCCACGTTCAACAGTGGAGCTTACCCATGTGTGATCGGCAGAGTATTTGTTAGAGTGATGGTGTTAGTATACCGATATATGCTTTGGGCCGTTACTTGTTTTGTTTTGGAGAGTTTGTATTCGGCTTCATTTAACCCCTCTCTCTAGATCTCCATATTTTCGGGTTCTGGAGCATATGAAACCGGCTTTATGTCGAGTAGATAGGCGAGATTGTGAGACCGATCCGGGACGACGATTTACCCTTGTTATAGAGCTAATTGTTATAGAGTCAGTAGACGTAGTTTTCTGGGAAAATCCCCTGCGGCATAATGATAGACGAGACGGCCAATTTTAAATAGAAATAAATATATCTCTGTTGTGTTAACAAACGCCAGATCGAGAGATTAACACTGGCGAGCTTAATTAGCTACCCCACCCACTGTGACTCTGACTAGTAAACTTGCGCACGTATCCCAGTATAGCCATGTTATATTATTGCCATTGTTGATCTGTCTCCATTCTTCGACCACCAGGTGTCCATACATTTTTGCATTTGGAATGTTGAAATGGTTTTGACAAATGACTGTTCCCTTTCTATTTTCCCTAATCCATTGATATGGTGCCAGGCGGCGAAGCTAACCTCAACAAGTGACTGGATGGTGTAGTTGGTTATCACATATCGCTCACATAGCCACTGGGCAAGTGGAAGCTTAGTCAACCACAATGTGTGCCGATAAGGTCCTGGGATCGAACCCCAGTCTAGTCATTTAAATAATTTTTTTCCTTACCCATTCTCTCCCTCCTAGTATGTATCTTCTCTTTTATTATTATTATTATTATTATTTCTTTTCACCTACCGCCTACGATGTATGCGGTCTGATGTGGAACTATTTTAACCTTCGTTTCTTTTTTTTTTTTTTTTGGATATTTCCACCGGCGGCAAAAGACGCGCAGAAAAGCTATTGCCGACCCTCATGTCCGATTGGACGCGACTGGGGATGGAGGGCAAAAGCGGACAAAGAAATGATAGACTGAAATATCAGCGGAATTAGCCTGCTGAAGGTGAATAGCGAGGCGTCTTCTTAATCAACTGCGTCGTTTCTAATCAACAAATGATATTCGAATCATACCCTCCCTACTATCTATGCTCAGAAAATGGACATTCAATAAGACAAAGAAAACAATAGCACGGAGTCTACCTCTCGCTCCTCTGTGCTTGCGCAGTATATGTGCAGATTTCCTGCAAAGCTACTGTATGTGCATCAATTAGTTGATACCGAACCACCGCTGTTGGCTGAGGCACTTGCTGCCTAGTGGACACGGAGTCATAAACGTAGTCATTGCTTCACCTCTTGCTGGAGAAAAAAAGGGTTTCTTTTTTGGTTACTTTAATGAGAAAATGATCAATCTCTTTTTTCTCTCTTCTTAAGTTTAATTGAAACATGATATTTGTTCTCTATGCTTTAATAGTAGTAATAATAATAATAATAATGCTGGGACGACTTTATTTACAAACATAAAAGCAACCCATCTATACATGAATGTGTGTACCCCGCCCACCCCCTCCTCCAAACCACAGTTTGATCGAAATTTCCGAAGAAGCTTGAATCGGATTTGTGGTTCCGCTCCTTGGGGCTGCACTTATTACCCATGGTATTCTCCCGTAACTAGGAACATTAGCTTTCTATCTGTCCTGCTTAAAATAAAAGAGTGGTTGGCGATCTTCGCTAATCCTGGGTAACATACCTTTTTCTTTCGAGAAGCATAGAGTATGAGAAAATCTAATCTACCTTTCACCTTCGAAGCTGAAAAGTATATGCGAAATGGTTTCCAATGCTAACAGATCTTACAATTACTTTATTAGACAATTTATCTATTCCTTAGGGACCTGATAAAATACTAATCGTAATAGCGTCCTATCTATTTTCTGCATTCTCTCTCTGAATTTGGCAATTGTTCGCACTCCGTTCCAGGTTAGATATACGAAGTATGACCCCTCCATCGCCGCGCTCGTAAAATCTATGGAGGAAGAATAGCCTGTTGAAATATGCTGTTAGAGAACATAGTCAGCTCTTGCACTCCACATGATATATGGAGTTGAAAGGTCCAATATCTCGGCTTACTTTCCACGACATCTGTTCGGTTGAACAACGAACTAATGGTTGATCATTTGCTGGGATCTCCCCACATCAGATCAGTCATTCCTCCGCACCAATGAAGTAATGTTTCAGATAAACCTTAACCTCCCGTCTGGATATGGCGGGCTGTTATCCATGGCATATTTCGATGCCAGGGAGTTAGTGGCATATATCGTCCACCATGCTTCGTAAACTTTACGTTCAAGGGTGTTCTCCCCCCCTGGTAGAGTGATGGTCCCATTCACATTCCAAATATATGCATAAGTACAACTGCACGAGATAAGGAAATTCCTTGCTTGGAAGCTGAGACATATCCACGAAAATCTGAGGCGAAGAAAGACCTTGGGCAGGTATGCTGCGTCATGGTCTGTCACGAGGCTACCTGATCCTTCCCGAGGTATTCATGTGCCCTTCCAAGTCAGCAAACAACACAGCCTTGAGACTTTCTTTGCTTGCTATATCTTTCACTTCTTCACTAAGTATGTATCCGGACAGGATTAGTCATTAATTGGATTTCAGCCACACCACAATTAATCGCCATAATGCGGAGAGGCTTTCATGTGGATTATGTATACATGTTGGATCTAGCATAACTGTTCCTCGTCTGTCGTCCCGGATGGGACTGGAACCGGAAGCCCATATATGGGCTGCAGCGGATGTTTAGCTCGTATCCAAGTAATCCTCGCAATTCGGACCCAGGTTCGCTCCTCTGTGGACTTTATGGACGTCGATTTCAGCTGGGGGGTCATTCAACGATTTGGATATTCGTGCAAGATAGTCGAAAACTAGAGACATTCTGGTCAGATATTAACCAGTATTGTACTTTCCTTTTTCCTTAGTCTCTTTCTTCGAGAAAAATAATCAGGATTCATGGAAGAACCTAACACCTGCCACATGTCGAATGTTGAATAAAACGGGTGTAGTAATAGAAAAATGGTTTGCTTCATTCCCATTTTGTCAGTAGCTTCCACGTCTATCATTCCCGCGTCATTAAGCATCCAGCTTCAGTTATGAAAAGTATCTCTTGTTCGTCTTTCTCATCGTAATTTTGTATGCCCGCATCTCTCAAGTCGCACATATATTTATGAAATACGGTGTAGAGGGTGTAGAATTTTTTTTTCCATCCTTGTAATCAGGGGCTTCTGGGCGAAGGGATTTTGAGGGGGGAAACATAGACGAGACGTGAGAGGCAATTCTCATCCAGGAACTAACTCGAATTCTTTTCCAATTTCCTGAATGGAAGATTATCCATGTGTACTCCTTGGCCCCGTAATTTCTCAGATTTGAGATGAGAGATTGATTTTTGACTCCCGTATTTGGTGCGACAAGTATTGGAAAATACGGTGCTGAAGGGTCCTTGGCGACCTTTCGAGAATACCCTGATGATCAAGTGCCATGAATTTGTTGGAGGAAAGAGAAAATAAGAACAGGAATAGTTACTCCGAAGGTGTTAGCACGTTCTACTGGTGTGCACTGTGCTGGCGCTCTATGCATACTCTTGAGTATTCAAGACAGGGGCCCAAGCGGTGCAGCGTGATGTCGATCTGGGATGTGCCACTAGCCATGGATCCAGTGCTTTCCTACAACAGGGATCAAGTATGTCAAGCCGATGATCCCGAGATGGTGAACCTGATTGGGAGTGTAAATACGCACCCAACTCAATTGTGTGCTTGGCTCAAATGACGAGTGGTTATGCCTCCAAGTCCACATCCAGGCTCCAAGGGACGAGGTTGGGGATAAAAAGCAATGAAAAGAGGAACTTATCATTGAGTGTTACTTTTTTTTTTTTTTTTTTTTTTTTTTTTTTTTTTTTGGTACGGCATTCGTTATTGGTCGATCGAATGCAAACCTTTTCATGAGATTCTGAGCTCGGAGAACGGGAATTCCAGCTTCAAGCGAGGAATGGAGATGATGGTCCCATCGGCATGCGCAATTATGAGATTTGCCTTCACTGAAGCTCAGTTTTGTCCACAGGGATGTTTACATGTATCTTAGCTCTGACAACCTGTTGTGAAATCGCTTGGAAAAGTTTGGTTGAAAGTATCAGTTTGTGGTCATAAGATACGGGCTTGAGATTGATTAACTT